TATTCACAGCTTTGTTGATAACAGTACCCTCCGTACTGCGTTTCCTTCAAGAAATAACATTTCATCTCAGGGAACTGACAACTTATGACTACTCTCTCATGGAATGATCATGTTCTATACATTGCGTGAATAGCTTCAAATCCTTGTATTATTATTCTCATCTCAATAGCTTCTATTGATCTACAAAACATGAGTCTAGTCGGTTTCATGAAACTGTTCATACATATTGGGTGGAGCTCCTGAACATGAGCTAATGAGCTAATTATCCAATTATCCAAAATTCAATTCAGAGACGGGCTATCTACCTGGCTGGTAATCCAAGACTCACTAGTTGCATAGGAACTGTCCTTCAAGTAACTTTGACCAGAGATACCAGTCAGGAGAACTCAACAAGCCAGTTGGCACATAATTAGCTCGTCAACCTTGGGATGTGTTGAACAGTTCTCCACCACAACTATGTTTGTTTATAGAATGGCATAGTTCTGAGATTATTTGCCGAAATGCCGAAAGAATTATTCCTAAGAACATAAATAACCTTCAAAATTCGAAATTATCTAGCTTAGTCGTCATCCATCTTGGATACGCATGACGTTTCTTGAACATGTTAAAGGTTATCAACAGGTCACTGTGAACAAAACAATCATCATGGATTTCTACCATTCATGGTCAGATGAATTGACTGTTTCATTAAGAGTTTTCATACTGCCTCTAATGCAAAAAGCTACTACAATTCTCCAGTATCGGGATCTCCTAACATACTAATTTATGGCAATGGCAATCTCACGCTCGACCTGACACATCGCCCAATAAATCAAATCTCCGAACATAAACAATATCCTGACCACCCTTGGTGGAACGGCAACGAACATGAATCTTGCAGCAGTTAACTACCGATCTGCTGTGGTTTCTGAGATGCAACGATGTCCCGAACAATCCCTAGAGGAGAAACTCTTCAGGGCGATTTTACCCCAATCGTGACCGCATCTGCGTTGTTTCCCATAATTAGCATTGTTACGATGTGTCTCGGAGTGTTGATTGTAGTCGGAATTGCTTATTGAAGATGCTAACGAAACATCTCTGAAGTTTTGTTCCAAGGATCGCAAGTATCGCAACTGTGGAAAATCCTCGAAAAAAATTCAATTATTTCATAGATGGAAACCCGAAGTTTTATCTACAATTTTGACAAAATTATCAGATATCAATCGTGACGGAACATGTTTCGAGCTTACATGAGCCCACCATCAGCCAATAGAGAGTATCATAGTTCTGAAAAAATCGGTATTGACTTAGGATATAGATGCAACAATTACTCAGTACTAACATGGGAATGAAAATAGTACACATACAAATATTATAGTTGAAAACAAGGCAAACAGAAAAATATGCATCATGATCTCAAAAACAATGGGTTTGAGGAACATTGAGGAACAAAGATTCAAACTTACTGTCCCTGTTGAAAGATTTGAATCAATTATAAAACTCATTTGGAACGGTTAAGGGTCGGATTCATATTTAACAAGGGCCCAGGTGCCCTTTAATTACCGAAAAGTGATAATTAAATGTTGGACAATGGAACTAAAAAATCTTATGGGGCAGTGAAATTAACCTGATGATGTGAAGGAATCACAAGTGCGTGAAACTGAAGATTATACATAAATTGACATGACAGACGTCAGAAAATTCCAAATGTCAAGTCCAGCTGATCATGGAACATGAAGATACATCAAGTAGATTATCATTATGATTTGAGCACCGAGCACACAATACCAGAAAACGGATACTATGTCAGATTGGAAAACAAAAACCAAGATTGGTAAACAATACTTGATCTCGATACCTTGAATCTGCCAACCTACAACAGAAAGCATGGTATATGACAAAATGATTTGAAATGGTTTGATTATTCACTGAACTTCAATGAATTGAAATATTTGAGGCAATCGAAGTGGGTTTGTTCATTAATATACGCGTTATATCATTATTATAAAATTCCTCAACTATTGTCAATGTTGAAATTATCTTGGAAGTTGAGGATGTGATTGGCAGAGGAGCTACTAGTGATATATTCATCTAGAGGAGGGGGTTTGTTTATCTTTCTTTGAATTTAATATGCGCATTAACTCTAATTTGAATCTGTCTACCACTCGGACCAATGTACTGAGAAATGCAGTTGAGATGTGGACATGATAATTTATATACACCTGAATGATGGAGAAATGGAATTACATTTTTATTATTGACGAACATACGTGATATCGAATTCGAAGTGTAAAATGTCAAATTGAGGTAATTACAATATCTGAGAAAAATAATACTGATTTCATGGAAAACTTTGCCTGAATAAGGGATTGAAGCAAAACGTTTCCTCTGATTTTAATTCGGTGATAAACCAGGATTAGCAACCGTGTTCGAATGACGATCGAAGATTTTATCAATAAGGTGAAAAGGATAACCATTTTGTTATGTGCTATTTGTATTTTATAATGTTCGATTCAGCTTTCAAGTTTTCAGGAGACAGTGGCATCTTGAGAAGCCTATGAAACAATCTATTGAATGCAGCAAATCAATAAGAATTTTTATGACATGAAAAAAGGAAATAACATAATCCGAGTGTTGGTTTCCTGTTTATAGCAAAACTGAAACTATCATCAACTTATATCACATTACGAAGACGTTGAATGGACAAGCGATATGTTATTCCCGATTGCGAGTTATAACTTGGAATTGGTATATTATGCTGTCATCTACACCCTACTGAAACAATTTTAAATGCTCCTAGGACAGTTTTTTGGATAGTGTCGAAAAAAATCTCAGAGTTCAACCTTTCATATTCTACGCGTAATGAACTACATATCGATAACATTTACTGACTCGTTGAAGTCGTATGAATATAAGCTTTTTTCCAAATGACATAGAAAGTGTCTATTGACACTTTACAGACAGAAAAAAAAATTTGAATCTGATTGGTAATCAGAAATGACAATACATTTAGGTGAACACAGAATGATGAATTATTTCTTGAACTCTGCGTGAAATCGAAACAATTTTCTGATCTTTTCAAAACGCCAGCGAAGGCATTGAATCTTGTGCTTCTCTGCCTAGTAATGCAAATAACTATTTTCCCGAAATGATTCCAAAAGTGTCTCTTCTATGACACTTTGAAGGCAAAGAAAGTGTATTTTCAGTGCCTAGGCAGGAAAAAATTGTTGCTATGCAGAGTTGTGAGTTGAATCAAATTGGGTGAACACAAAAGGATGTAGTTTTCGAGAAAAAGAAACTATAACATAACATTTGGAGAAAACTTCATATGTTTCACATGGCAGAATGAAAGATAATAAACTTTGGCTGGTTTTCAAGGCCATCTTGATCATTTCTGCCTATTCGAATTATATTCTTTGTTTGGCTAACCAAAATAGTAGTAGATTCACTGCAGCAACTGACAGTTCATAGCCGTGTGTAGCGAAGCTAGGAATAAAGACAATGCAGTCAATCTACATCTGCTAGCGTGTGGAACATACTTTCTTCTCCAAATGTTATCAAACCAAATTTGTGTCATTTTTTCATTGAGAGTTTTGTATCTACTCAATGTCACTTGTCAATTTTCTTCTACAATATCATTCGAATCAGTTGGAAAGTTGCATAGCAATTAATTTTTCCTGCACAGGCAGAGCAATGAGTACACCTTTCCTGCCTGTTGGGTGTCAGAGAGAAGCCATTTCATAGGCCACTTGGAGAGAAATAACTGTTTCATTCGGATTGTTCAGAAGGAAGTTCAGGAATATCATTCTGAGTTGTAACACGGGATTTCTGCTTCCGAATATTTTGCAATTCAAGAATATAGTGAGTGGATCATACTTCTGCATTTTTATAGCCTTCATATAGCGAGATGGACAAGTGTTTTAGCAACACTATTCTTTTCGCTTCACCAATACGAACGACTGAAAATTTACAGGGTTCAGAGAAAAAGGTCCTTACTGAATATTACTGTATATTCCTCAGACAAAAACAAGTCGATTGAATCACACTTACCTCAGAATAAATTTGGTACGTTGAAATGACAATCAAACCCATATCATCATCATAATGAATATCATTGGCGAAAAACTAAATTTTTTCAGTGGAGAAACATCTGACCGTCTACGCCAATGGACAGAAAAAAGGTTTGAATGTGTAACATATTTATTATACTGATGTAGGAAATTCCTTTGTGTGACTGCATATGTGGTTATGAGTGAATTCACTGGTTGAAATTTTTGAGTGAATTCTCGAATTGAACTAGATGATTCATAAATAATTGTTACCAATAATGGAAATGTGTTCATAAATAACCATTCCACACAGTCAAGAAGAGTGAGATATCGATTCAATCAAGTGTGGACCAAAATTAAGACATTATTGAGTGGACCTTGGGTGAAATCTCACTCGATTTTTTGTCGGTGTACAACCGTGAAATATGTAAAACAGCACTTGATTTGAAATCGTTTGCCTATAGAACGGCAAGGCTCTGGAATTAATGGCCTGAGGAAGTATTCCTGAGAATTCATATTCCCCAAAAGTTGAAAGAGAAAATTCAATACCAACTTCCTCTTGCTATGTTCCCTAGGTATGCACGATGCTCTTCGAACATTATACGGATTCGCTTTCGTGCGTTCCAAGCGATGAAAATAGATTCAATTGATAAAATTCCAACATGCTGATGTTTTCGTCAAAAGTGTATATTTCGTAGATCAGACCATCAGTCAACATTCAAACCATAAATAGATATTTCATCAGAAGTGATCGATATTTAAATCATTTTCACGTATGTCATTCACAATAACAAAGATGACGTCAATAACAAGACGCTTCACAATATCGGCGATATTATAGCTTGAATCACGCTGTCTAGAGTGATCCATATCGATAGATCTCGTTAACTCATAAAAATATACCCTGTATGTATATTTTTATTGATCAACTATCCAACCTAACAAAGACTAATGATGGTCTCTTATTTTTAGAGTCAACCCATAAGCAACCTAGTTCAGATAGTTCAACCTCCAATAAGAACCTAACCTGGATCATAATTGGTGCATCAGTAGCAGCAGTACTACTTATCATGAGCATTGTCATCGTAGCAGCAGTATTGGCCTGCAAAAGGCCCACGACTGTAGTCAAAAGAAGGTGCAGACGAAGCAGCAAACCTCCTGACGAATTCGAACTATCAGAGGATGGTTTCGGAGAAGGTTTTCATAGAAGAAGTACTCAGTATAGAGCAAGTATGTATGGAGAATGTGAAGATAGGATCACCAGGATGATAGAAGGTAAAATATCCAATCGAATCTTTTCATCTTAATGAATTACTTATGTGATGGTGATTTTGTTTTATCTCTGGTAGCAGTTCATTTCTGCTCAAAGTGAAGTGGATTATTTCTAAAGAGAGGAGGAGCTAGAGATAATCAAGAAAACATGTTTCGTAAAAGTCCCAAGTTCAAAGTTTCTATAAAAAGAGTATTGTAATGATAAACTAACAAAAATTACGAATGTTCAATTCATATGGAGATGAAATCAATTGTTGAAGCTACTATTCATCGTGAAAATCACATATTTAAATCATTCCAAGAAGTAATGATCGGGCCCCTTGCCGTATAGTGCAATTTTATCGCAAAGGAATTTCAAGACCCTGATGGAGATCGTAATGCGCATTTGCGAAATGATGTTATTGTACCTCAAAGATTGAATCACCGGATGAATGAGAATAAGATATCCCTACCCCTTAGGAAGCGCAACCATGAATGCATTTATTTCGATTATACATCTCGAATCAATGATGGAATTCCACGAGAATGATAAGGTTCAACGGGGTATTCTCAAGGATGACGATTATGAAAAAACATTCTGAAACATCCTGTGTCCTGAATCTTTCATGTTCAGATATGTACTTTCGAGTTATTCTGATGATTATATATACTATAATCCATTACCTTTCTGCAGAAACTTCCTGAAATCTTCAATTATTACTGAATATTCCTTTCGGTCAAACTTTTTTTTATTTCAATTTCTTCAAACTCAAGACACTGTGATCGATTTCAGTATAAATATGATTCAAAACAGCAACCCCACATTTTTTCAGTAGACTTCATCTCTTACGCTTAATTCAAAAAAATTCTCAACATTTTCAAATCGAGCATTAAAAGATATATACCTGTACAAAATTTTGTTATCTCAACACCGAGGGTTTCGAAACTTCACATGAATTCATTATATCGGGCTCCCCTTTAGATAGCTATAACTCCTGAGGAAGCCATTTCTGGACCAATGTTCACAAACACTTTTTTTACAATTTTCATTTCTAGAATCGATGGTTGGAATCTTTCTATGTAATTTCGGGACACCCTGTATATATAGTGTGTGTGATTTCAACACGCAACACTTCTAATTTGAAACCCGTCTACCGATTCTCAAAAACAAATATTTCATAATATATAGCTCTTTTCAAAAATGTGGACAAATCTGGGATAGTCAGATTTCCAAGGCCAACTCTTGTTTGTTGAAGGGGTCAAATTTCCAAAAACGACTATATGACAATTTGTTAATGAAACAATGACTAGTCTCTTCCATTCAAGCTTAACTGAAATACCTTTATTCGAAATTTTGGCACCTATCCACAGCTTTGCAGACAAAAGTACTCTTCATACTACGTTCTTTCATAGAATTTTCATTTCTTCCCATGGAACTGAGTACTTACGAAGAAGGCAGGCCTACGCTGTCAATGAAGATCGTGCGGAAATCACAGCCTGGGGAACCAACAACCTATAGTTGAACTCAAGCTTGTATTTTCTCAAGTGAGGCGGAACTCAGTATTTCCACCAAGGTCATTATATCCATGCTTGGTATTACCATCTCTCATGAAAAAATCATGTTTCATCCATCGCAATAGCTGCCCCAACAAAACTCGAATTCTTGTTCCGTGCGAAAATTTACTCCACACCTCAGCATTGTTCATGATCTGCACAGATACGGCCAGTTCCCTTGGTACTATTCTCATGTATGAGGTTCAGCACCCAAATATACGCTGATGCCCTTAGATTCCATTCAGAAAAGAGTCATTCGCCTGATGGGTTATGCCACACTCACCAACTATTTGACCCCGATACCGTAGAAGAGTCTGCGACCTTCTACTTACCAATAGGTTTTTCCAGAGGAAATGTTCCTCAGAAATCCCTACTATAATCTAATCACTAGCAATACCAGTCAGACGAACTCGACAGGCCCAAACAGCACATTCCATCACCACGGAAGTAGCTATAGCTACCTGCGTGAAATCCGAGTCCAGGAGTAGAATAGTGATGGAAAAAATATTAGGAGAACTCTTTTAAGCAAACTACGAAGAGATCATTGAACATATAGTCCTCAGAAAAAGATAACCGCAGACACGTGTGTCGAGCTCTCGGCCCTCATCAGTACGGTGAGGCGAGTGCAAAAAAAGGCAACACTCACCTTGATGAAAGATGAAACAAGTAATCGATAAAGTTAACAAACAGAAACCAGCCGCAAAATTGTGGTTTCGGTCAGAAGACCCTGCATTTCCAGGGTTGCACCTTACATTATCACGAAGGAAGCTATAGCTACTTCCATGACATCTGAGTCCAGGAGTATATTATGAAGGGAATAAAATTGTGGGAACTGTTTTAAGCAAACTAGGAACAGATTATGACGTTTTCATCATGATATAATGAGAGAAATCCTCTTCAATATGAAAACAACAGTCTGATTCAAAAATAAAATAGGTAGGTACATCTGGCAGTTGTCAAGTGAGGACTTCAAGCACTGGTTGAATTACTTCTTCTGATGAATTGAAGCAAAATCAGAGGGAAAAACTTCATTTCTTTCCAATACGTGAGTGGATTAACTGAACAAGGTGAAACATTTTTTATCAGTAAAATGCATTTTTCATTCTCAGTTAGAAATCCAGTTCCATACAATTTTCCTAAAGTGAACAATGAAATAATAATCGATTAGGATTATAGTATACAAAATATAAGTAATAATTTCTTCATATAACAATCACACCTACATATTTAAACAGGGTCCTATGTTCTTATATATGCAGATCACACCAAATGCATATTATCCTTTTGAAAACGATAATTGTATAGGTATATCTCATTGACCTCAAGAAGTTGGAATATTTACTGAATAATGCATTTCCTTCAGTGTTTTTTTCTAGAATCGAAACAAATCGAAACAAACACGAACATTAACCAACTGAACCAATGAACAAAACTCAATAGATATAATTCAATGTTCGTCGTAGCATATTGCCAGGAAAGTAGTTGTTTTCTATTGAATAAACTGAAAAAGAGTAGATATTCTCATCACATAGAGAATGCGAATTCTCAATGTATTGCTCCATATAAATATATATCCATTTTTGTATGTTCATAATACATCTGAGAATATTCCTTCTCAACAGAAATAGACAATCTGTTTTTTTCGAACAGCAGGGGAAAACACCAGAATCTCTAGTCAAGCGTGTCGAATCAAGAACTTGTTGTTAGATTCCCCTCATAGATCGTTAAATTCCAGCGTCTCAAACCCACAAAACTGGAACTGGCTAAGAAAAATACAAATATTTTCTTCTTCAAGTTGACCTCACCTCAGAAGTGTCGTCGAGAAGTGTTTGATTATCAACTCGACTCCTGGTGGATATAACATCATTATATTTTCATCTTGATGAAGTGACATTTTTCATAGTGTTCGAGGTCGAGCTTGTCTGATTTCAAAACGGAGAGAGGTGATAAAGATAGTGATAATATACCGATGTTATGTTCGAAAAGGATGAAAGATATTGATATTATTCCAAAATCTAATCCGTCTCAATGTATGTTCCTATATATAAAAAAGTTCTGAAATTCTCAAAATGATCATGGACCATCGTGCGTACCTAGAGAGGATAGGGAGAAGAGGTAGGTGTTGGATTCATTCTTCATAATGACGCAAAAGTGTCGTCAATCTGACGTTTTTACAATGACGTTTCGAATGAGTTGAAGAAATTACGTCAGAAATCCAGTCATTTCTACCAATATGATATCGCGGACAAAGAATCCCAAAAAATACGTCATCTTGACGTCAGATTGATGCTGTCAGGGTATGCAACCAAGGGTACATTCATATCTCTTCAATATGGGTGGCAAGGGGGCTGTATCAAAATTAGTCACGTGGCTATCAATCTTTTCGAAGACCCGGTACTTGATATGAATTATTTATTAGAAATCAGAAACCAAAAAAATTAAGATTCACTTCAGGTAGTTGAAGGTTCTTTGTTAATATCAACCAATGATATGACTGTGTTAATCTTTGCATCATTTTCATCAGGAAGTTATTATTTGATATAGGACTGGAATTCACTACACAATGATTTCAGCTTCAATATCCATTTCCTACACGATATCCAAAGAAAATCGAAAATAATGACATAACCTTTTATCCTTATACCTTCTTTGAATTGGATCACGAACACATAAGGCACTTAATGAGATTTGCTTCTCGAAATTCAAGTAGCTTGTTGAGGTAGATATTATAAATTCATATCGTTCTCGATTACTTGTTTGAAGGATTCATATAATTCACATGGTATGGAACGAATTCGTTTCCAATCCATAATTCAATAGTAGGAATGATTGATGTTCATAAATGATAAACAATCCAAAAAAATCCATTCCAAAATGAATATCATCTTATATATATAGTTACAAGCTTACCCGATAGATGACCCAAGCGCTCTTGTAGACAGCAACGAGGTTATATCTCGCGATATAATGATTTATTAATTTATTATGAATGACAAAGGAACATGAACCTTATCAAGATGCGGAATGATAAAAATTATAAACTAATGAAAATGAATGTATCTGAATGAACGTGTAATGAAAACCTATAGTGATTCATTTACCAAGTAAGTACATCATATACCTTCCTAAACCTTGTGTGGTGAGCGAGAGTTATTTTAATATGTCAACACACGTGAGAATCACTTTCGAAATTTTGCACGACCATGGTGACATGAGCTACTTTCTAAATAACAAAGTGGTGTGTTTTATGCTGTTTTCATAGGATGTCGTAGGAAAACTTCATTAACAGATGATCTGCCTCACTGGGTTCTCGACTAATATGCTTTTGAAAATTCGATATAAATTGGCGATCAACCCAGATCTATATAGATAGGAAGTTACTCTAGTTTTATCATAATCTTGGTGTGTAGATTCCACATATTATTCAGTAATAAACAAATATTTCGTTAGATTTCATAGAACAGCAATCA